CGGAAGAACAAGAAGCTTTCATTAAAGGTAGTTCATTATCAAATGATGCTCTTCTAGCTCAAGAACTTTTCAATAAGTTGAGATTCTCAAAAGTAAAAAAAGGATTGGTTACAATCAAACTTGATATGGAGCAAGATACGATAGTATGACTTGGGATACACTAAGGAAGATTTTGGAATACTTTGGGTTTCCAACAAACTTTTCAATTCTTCATTTGGAATGTGTGGAAAATCCAAAAATTTTTATTATGATCAATGGTAACATTTTGAATGGGATTAAAGCAAAATGTAAATTTATTCAAGGTTGTCCATTATCTCCTCATTTATTCATCCTTTGCTCTTAACTCTTGTCTAACGCTTTAAGCCACAAAGGAAGGAATTTGGGAATCAAGGATGCCTCAAATGGTCAAAAAATTACACATTTACTTTATGCGAATGATATTCTCCTATTTCCAGAAGTAAAGATTAAAAGTATGATGAAGATGAGAAGAATAATTCTAGATTATTGTAGCTGGACAGGGCAAAAGGTGAATAAGAAAAAATCTGGGAAATCTTTTAACCAAAATAAGATGAAAGTGATTTCAAAATTATGGGGTTACAAAGTGAGCAATGAATTGAAGTACCTTGGGATCAAATTGGTCTTGAGAAGGCTAGTTGCATCAGACTTTAATAGCCTAATGGAGCAAGCTGCTAACAAATTCAATATTTGGGGGAACTAAATTATTTCCTTACATAGAAGAATATTATTGGTGAAAATGTCTTGCTAGCTCTTCCAATATTCTTTTCAGCTCAATCTTGAATACCTCTAAGCGTGTTAAAAGAGTTGGATAAAGCTTGTTGGAATTTTATATGTGACAAGCAAGGAGGGAGACACAGGTCACATTATATTGCTTGGGAAAATCTGTGTAAAGCATGGAAAAAAGGAGGACAAGGAATTCATTCGGTGGTATCTATGGTTGGGCCAATGAGATCTAAATTTTCTTGGGGTTATTTAAATAAAGAAGATTCATTGCTCAATAAATCTTTGATTGCAAAATATGGAGCTCATTTGGGGAATGTGGCCTACAAGAAGAATACATCATCCACTTGGAAGATATTATCAGATGGAGCTAATTCTCTTCATCATATCACTAGATGGAAAATTGCTTCAGGTACATCCATTAATACCTTGAAATATGTATGGATTTTAGATAAAATTCTGGTTAAATGGCCTACTTTTATTGCGGTGGGGGATTATGAGTTTACATCAGTTGATTTCTTTATAACTGATGGAAATTGGAATAAGAAGAGTCTAAAAGAATACTTTGGTGTTGCCTTAGTTGAGTTTATCTTGTAAATATAAATATTTCCTGATCTAGAATGTGATCGGTTAGAATTTTTAAAGAAGTTATCTGGTAAAAGTATAGCAGGTTTGGCATCTTATTCTCATGACGATGATGGTTGGATGGTAGAGTAATCAAATTGGTTAAAAAAACTGCACCTTGCTCCGAGAGTGGAATGCTTTTGGTGGCATCTTTTTAATGATGCTATTCCAACTAAAGATTTCCTAATGTACATAAGATTGTTGGGTCATAAATTATGTCCTAGAGTATGTAATGAAGTGAAAAATATTGAGCATGTAATGGTGAGCTGTGCAAAAATAAAACAAGTTATTGAACAACTGAATAATTGGGGATTTTCAGTACCAGGTTTCTTATAAATTAGTGATTGCAAATCAAAGCTGCAGCTGTTATCTTCGAAGAACCCTTTTATTGAAAAAATGTATTGTGCTATGGTGTTTTTTTAATGGAAAAGTACGAATAAATGCAAGCATGGTGACAATGAATTTAGTTCAAGTTTTGTTGCTTCTAATGCTATCAATTATGCATCAAATTCTAATACTAATCTATTCATGGACCACTAGGTGCTAATCAGCAAAATCAGCTATTTATTTATTAGCACCCTCCTCCCCCAGGATGGATTAAGGTCAACATTGATGCATCTTTATCAAAAGCTAATAATGGTGGAATTGGTGGAGTATTCAAAGATTCAAAAGCTAGATTCCAACTTGCTTTTGGGCTTAGTTGCATCCATTTGGATAACAGATTACTAGAATTGATGGCTTTTCATTCATTGAATAAAATTATTAGGAGATTTCTTTTTGGGATGATTTGACTTGTAATAATGTTCCTCCTTCTTTTATTTTCTTGTTAAAGGATGATTGTGATAGAACTACTATCACTTAGTAGATTGTAATAAGTTTACTTTTTTTCATTAATGCAATTTGCATTTTCCTTCAAAAAAAATGAATGAATTTACATGTCGATATTGAATTATAAATTTTATAAATCAGTAACAATGAACTAAATTAATTAAAAATCAATAATAGAATACGTAGACATTAAAGCTTTTATACCCTTGTGTTTACTCATTTTATGAAGGCAAATATGTAATGAAATGGAAAGATTTATGGACTAAAATACTTAATTAAAATACAAGTACTCTATTCAACATTCATGTGTGTGTGTGTGTGTGTGTGTCTATAATTATATGAATTTTTCAGTTCAAAATTTTTGTTTAGTTGTTAGATACATAAACACAAATTTTGCATGTCATTATTGTAAATATATTCTTAAAAATTATTCTTAATAATCACTAAAATGGTTGCTAAAAATTAAGCTTGAAACTCGAAAGCCGTCGAAATGTACTATTACATTGGCTTAACTTGAAATCAGATTTGAGTTTCCTTGGCTTGCTCGAACATATTCAAGCCGTATACATTTTTTACGTATAATACGCCGCTAGAGTCTGTATCGAGTCAAGTTCAAGCAAATCATGCTCAACCCAAAATCGAAATTTTCAATCTTGAGTCGAAGCAAATTTGAGTCAAGTCGAAATGCTATAATTTTGATAAAACAATTTAGTTGTGTTGCGGGCCGGAATATTTGCAGTGGTAGATAAATATATAGTTTAGCGTCCTAGCTTTCTGCAAAAATCCAACACATAGATATAAGAGAGAGGGTTCAAGAGTCATAAAAGTCACAAGAATTTTTATGTGGAAACCTCTGAAAATGGGAGAAACAATAGGATCTTGCACAATTTAATGAATCAACTAGTGTTTGTTGTTAACAAATGATGCCCTTCCATGGGGGAAGACGTTGGCTCAATGTAGTAAATATGCATCATATAGAACAATTTATATGATTGGGGCTGGAAGAACCCGGCCCATTGTCATGAGAGCTATTCTCAAGAGAGTGTTAGTGATCTGTTCATTCAGTTGGTAGGACTATATTTGGGCTACATAGATTAGATGAATCATAGTCAGCAAGAGACGCTAGCTAGTTGAAGAGATCATAGTTAGGCAATGGTGGTCGGAGGGACTGTAACCAGCGAGTGATGATAGTCGAAAGGACTATAATCGGCAAGTGACGGAGGTCAAAAGGATCGTAGTTGGAAACCATGGTCGAAAGGACACTAGCTAGTGGGTGATGGTGGTAGGAAAGATTGTAGTAGGAAAGTGACAAATATAAGAAAGATTTTAGTTGGGCGACGATGATCAGATAGGCCATAGTCGATGGACGATGCTGGTCAAACGGATCGTAGTTGGACGACAGTGATCGAATGGACCGTAGTCGATGACTTATGGTTGTTAGAAGGACCGTAGTCAAGCGACAGTGATCGGAAAGATCATAGTCGGACTATAATGATTGAAAAGACCGTAGTTGTAATAAAATATCAACACCTTTTTAGTTAAACCCACAACAATTTGATGATACCACAATCATACATAGAACAAAGAAAAATCATCCATCAAATATTGGAACCAATGCTTGCTTTTAGCAATGAAATCATCTTTCTAACCATTATAAGCAAAGCCATGCATGATATGCTTCTTCTCCAACACCTCAATGCAATTCGGAGGTGCATTCTTAGCATCTTCTTCATTTGATGGTTTTTCTCTCTCTGCATCGGTTGATATATATCCTCAATATATATATATATCCTTAAAGAAAATATTTCTTATAAAACTCTTGTGAGGTACGGTATTATTCATCACCATTCATTTTGTATGCAGGAAGATTTTATTCATCAATGCATATTTAGGTTTCATTTTCCAAACGAAACCTTAATATCTATTAGTGATAGATATTTCACACAATTTTCATATATATATATAAGACCTTCCAACACATATGAAGACCTCCACATTCAAACTTTGAAGAATAGAGACGATTCGGTTTGATTCTAATCAATCATTACTTATCAAAAGAAAGTGAAACCGATCATCTATTTGATTCAGTTTTCATCATTTTCTAAGGTAGAAAAAAAAAAATAATGATATATGATATCTCTCCTTTAAAGACTCAATCAATTTAGGCATGTATTTGAATTCAAGTTCATATATAGTGATAAGAAATACAATGATAGGGACGTAGGCAGTAAAGTTTGTTCACAGTGTCCCCACATTTGTGCAGTGTATAACTATTCTATATTGAACCTCTATTGTGGTGGAGCAGATGTTCAGTATAGAATAGTGATGTACAACACAAAGGTGAAGATGTGGTGAACAAATTGAGCTGGCTACGTGCTTATCACTGCATAGCTTATCATATAGTGCTCTAGATTGGGATGAGCATAATTATTGAGAAGGAATTGAATATTATCTCTTTATTCTCTACTTTCTATCTTCTTCTAATTCTCCTCCTTGCCCCGGGTCTCTCTTTTGAGTACTCAATAACTTCTCTTCTCCTTCTCTAATGCCGTAAGCACCATTGACAATATTCAACAAATGATATGAATAATATAAAATGTAAGCTACAATCTACTCAACTAAATACAACTTTTGTGGTAATTAATTAATTCATTTTTTTCAGCTAAATACATAAAAGACTTAGTTTTTTTTTCTATCTCTTCAGCATTTCTTTATTAATAACAGTTTTTTTACTAAGGAAAGGAGATTTTTTTCCCAACTTAATATTAGATGGAGAAAGGACATTTTTCCTGGGTGGGAGTAAGATTAACAGTTAAACTTTCTTCTAAGTCGGCATGATCTTGCTTGGCTGATTCTTCTGAAGGCAGCTTTGGGCCTTTGAGCAGTCCTCCAAATAAATCTCCAGGATCATAGAAGATCTCTACTTGTTCTGCCTTCAAGTTTTCATCAACCTGTGTTGAAAGAGATAAATTCATTAGCTTCAGCTGCATATGGAGTGTAATGGAAAATGGAGCATTGGAACTAAGAAAACTGGCAATGTTAACACTCCTTGCTTCTTCATTAAGATTTCAAGAATAATGAGATCACTTGATTCATTTTGTATAGAAGTTCTTGTTAAGGATGAGGAGTAAACCACCATAACGAAACAAATAAGAAAATAGAAAAGCAGCGGAAAGTAAAAGAGTCCAATGGGAAAAAATAAGTACATATCTCTCTTCTATCTCGCTCTCTCCTTGCTTCTCTTCTCTCTTACACTTTTCTCACACTCAAAACACATGAGAATGTCAAGTTAATAACATCAGGGCACAACCCTTCAGAAAAACAAAAAAGAAAACTGTCAAATCCGTCTTGAAGTGCTGCGACGCTCAAACATCTGTCATCATGATGTTGTGGCGCTCAAACTCACAGCACTGCAGCGTCACACAACACTGCGATGTTGAATCTAAAGCGTCGTGGTGCTCTACTCTCTATCAATCAGCGATGGGATGCTTGGGAACACAGCATCGAGGCGCTCGGGTACATAGCGTCGATGAGTTGTACATAAAAAAAATTAAAGTGGTAAACCCTCCGCACCCCCCAATAAACACATTAATTTGAATTGACGTACGAGACAATAAAACAATCCGATTAATCAGTACAATCAGATTCCACACATAATAGTTCTCTATTTCTTAAGAAGAACACATGCTCATGATTTAGCCATTAGCGATGTTAGCTGTTATAATTGTTTTTTATATAGTATCAATTCAAATAAATAAGCAATTTTTTTTTTGTGTGTGATGATTTTACTGCTATCTTCACAGTCGCATGAAGCTTTTTTATACTAGAAGGATTAGTGCTGCGAAAGTTTTTTTCTTTTTTTTCATGTAATGAATTCATATGAGATTATATTGATGGAGAGTCATTCCGACAGAATAAAAATTATCATTGCAATAGAAATTTCGAGAGGAAATTATGTGATTGGTTAAGTTATTTGTTCAAGATATTTAATGATGGTGAAAAATAGGAATACGTTTGTTTGAGATGGAGTTATGGTTAATATGAAAAGCTCTCACATGAGAAAAAAAATTAAGGCATGTTCGTGTAATGAATTTGGTCATACATCTAATAAATTAATATAAAAATACTAAGCGGTTAACATACACTTGAAGATCTAAAGTAAAGGTGTTGAAATGGGATTTTGGATCGAGTTCGAGTCCAACTCGAAATTAATCCGGTTTCAACTCGCTTGACCCGAGCCTGACCCGATTAGGTAAACAGGTTTCAAGTCAAGACCCAAACCCAACCCAGCCCCATTTCGATCGACCCGACCAGTCTTAGTGAGATGAGCGAGCAAGCGCGAGCACCAACGAGCAAGTGGGCAAGCAAGGCATACGATAGGATTAGATGAGAAGATGAGATATTTAGTTGTTTAGCCCTAAGCAAATGGGTAAATTTAGGATTGTTTTTGGATTTTTGAGTTGACCCGAACATGATCCATTTTTCAAATGGGTTGACTCGAACCCGAAATTTTCAAGGACGACTTTCTTAATGATTTGTAAAGCTATTATAGGAAAAAAAAGTAATATTTTAAAGCTATTGTTGAAAGTAGTTTCCTAATACATAATTTAAAAAAAAAATAGTAGCAAAATATAAAAATTGTAGTTGCGGTATGAAAAATAAATCAGAAAGAAAATTTTCCCAACAAAGTTTAAGTAATACAATATAGTCAATAAAAGGTGGTTTTTTTATATATCAATAAGATTTAGATAACATTGTATGTAATTTGTATTTTTTTAGGTGTTACAAAAGTACTAATGTTGAATATAGAGATATGACACAGCTCATCATGGGGTGTTAGTTAATTGGGAGCTTTATGTCATGGAGAGATCTTCTTTAAGTCTCTTGTGCGGCCTTACTTAGCACTCATTGGTGCTAAGCACCCTTAAACCCATATAGTGCTTGGCTAGAAAGAGAAGAATTGAATGAGAAAGCTTTTACTTTTACAATGAAATTTATACAAGAGGAGAATTGGAGGGATGTGAGGAGATGGTTACAAATGAAAGGGAAGGGTCCTATTTATAGCCCTCCTCCCATGCCTAAGAACAATTTAGATTTTCCTCCAAAATACATGAGTGTGGAGTTCTCTAGAATACTCCACATTATTCTCTACACTCTTACATAATTTTATAGCATTGTAGAGAGTTAAAGAGCATCCTAGAATACTCTCGAAGTATCCACACTATTCTAGAACATTTAGAGTACTCTAGAATGTTCTAAGAAACTCTAGATATTCCTAAAACCATCCAGAACCTTCTAGAATATTCTGGAACCCTCCATAGTCTTCAAGAAACTTTCCAATGTCATATGATCCCATCTCAGAATGATTTTAGATGACTCTTTTGCAGCCACAAAATATGTCATACCTAAGAGGTTTAGCCAATTTTCTAATCCTAAGTTTTGGGCGTACTTGATTTTGGCTATCAATCAAGAGGTCTTGAGTTTGAATCTTGCATATATGATATATGTGTGAGTTTGCAATAATTGACCTGAATGTTCCAAAAAAATTATGTTATGCACGTAAAAACCGCAATCAAAAGACAACCGCTATGAGCTGTTGTCCAAAAAGTCAAATTTTTGGTAGTGATCCTTTGACTAACACAAAACCCATTAATTTTGAAATAAAACTATATAAATTTTCACACCATCTATAACTTATGCACAAATCATGAGTGAAATATTATAAGGTGAATGAAATTGGTTACCTTGATAATAGCCATGCCAATGAACTCAACCACCTCACCAGTGGGGCCATGTCCTTTATATGGGCCCTCCATATATCCCCAATGCCTGAACTTGAAAGTTATCTCAGGAGGTCCAGAGAAGAGCTTAAGCAACTCCCAAGCAAAGCCACGAGGAAAGGCAGTTTTAAATACATGGTGGGAGGAATCAAAGCTCTCCTCTTCTGCCCTATAGCCTTGCATTTCCAATGGCATTTGGCTTTGAAGCAAAGCATTATAGCTACCCAGATTGAGAGTTTCCTCTGCTGATAAGAACTTCTTTCCTGAAAGTTAAAGAACAAGAAAAATATTATATTCTATCAAAGAAAAATAATGCAGCTGGCAATGCTCAGTTGTTTGTGAAATTATTTTGTGTGGATATGAACGTCGTCTAGAGGCGAAACATAATGCGCCACATCACTTTTTTGTTGTATACTGCTGTTGTATACCGTTGTGTACTGGGTGACGTGACGTATTCTGATTCATCTCCGGACAGTCGAGTGTCCGCACACCATAATTTCTCTAGTTGCTCTTTCTTTTGAGAAAGCTGGGAGAAGATGATTGCTAATTTGTCCTATTATATTTAAGTGGGCAAAATCATAATATGATATGTTCAAAGATATTTCCTTATAAATAATAAAATTTGGTGGAATATAAAATTATATGTTATAAATATTCGAAATATTTATACATATATCTTATATGTTTGTTCAAATTTCACATGAGTGGGACCAGCCCACCCCTACTACACGCACATGTGAAAATAATCTTAGTGTCTGGTGCTTGATCTAAAAGTTGTCCAGTGGAGTGCGTGAGTCTTACTTTGAGGATTTATAATGATGTTAGGTTTCATTTGCGACCGCTTTGTACTGATTTTTAAAGCAGTTTGTTAATAGAAAAAATTATTTTTTTACTAAAATGTTGCTTTAAAAAGCATTAAAAAGTTGTCTCAAACGAAGCCTTAGTTTTTTTTATAAGATTAGACAGTCTCACCTTAGATGATTTGGTCACATAAAACGATGACCTTTGACGACCCGGTTAGCAAAATAGATGTACTAGATTTGACTAATGTTAAGAAAAATAGAGATATACCTAAAAAGATTTGGTTAGCTGAGGATTTTCTCCTTGCTGTGGCTTGCATTGATCATGTCAATGAAAGAGTGGATGATTCATGAGTAAATTAATATAAATTTTTTTACATAAAGAGAGCTATGATCTTCTTTGCAATTTTAATGAAAATTTACGGTTGATTAATATTATTGATTGGTCTAAAATATACATAAAACCTTAATCAACAAAAAATATTATAATTTAAACAAATTATATATTGTAATATCTAGCAATAGCAATAAAAAAAAGAAGAATTGACAAGTCGTATAACACCAAACAACAGAGGGTATTAATATAATTTTAGAAAAAATGATGAAGATATACGTAATATTATTGATTGTCCATACACAAGAGATAAACTTAGGCTTCTTTTAGGACGACTTTCTTTCTACATCATAAAGCAGCTTTTCAGTACAAAATTTTTTAATTTTATATTAAAAAGTTGCTTTAAGAAGCATAAAGAAAATCATCTCAAATGAAACTTTTATTAACTTAAAAAAATTATGAACCTTCCGCAATCATTTTTATTTGTATTATTTTATATACAACAAGTCAACAACAACATCTAACCTTTATGGCTTTATTTCACTATTTCTATTATTTATATGAGTATTAATAAAATAATACGATGAAATAATTAAATTTTATTTTTAAAAATAACAAATAATATATGTAGCTCTCAGATGATCATCTCCCAACCATTACACAACATTAAAAATTCCAAAAATAAGCTTTTTTTATCACAGTTTCGCTTGGGATAGCTATTGACCATTTGTTTTTTAAGTTGTTTTTTTTTAAAAAAATTGTAATAAAAAGCTATTTTAAAAAGTAAGAAAATTATTCCAAACGATTTGAAGAATTCAACTTAGATTTTCTTATTGATTTTGATGAACTAAAAAAAAAAAGGTAAATTAAGAGAGAATAGAGGAAGAGAGTTACTGACCGTTAACAGAGAATTTGAATTTGGAAGGGTTTATGGACCTGAAATCATCAAGACAGGTCTTGTGAGATAATTCCATCTCCCAACTCTTCACAACGTTTTGAACAGTCTCCTCCAGAGATCCAGACGGCCATTCCTGTAGATCTAATTGTTCATATTAAAGAAGACAGGAAGTAGAGAGAGAAACTACGCATAATTTGATTTGATAGAAGAAGATGTCGAAGCTGTGATTTGCCTTTGTTCTTCCTTGTTCGAAGAGCTTGTTGACGACGCTGTATTCTGGAGCTGAACCATACCTCCATTGGATTTCCTTCCCTTCTTCATTCACCATGTGAGATCGGTATTTTTCCTCCATCTCTCCCTCTCTCTCTCTCTCTCTCTCTCTCTCTCTCTCTCTCTCTCGCTCGCTCGCTCGCTCTTCTCTGTATCTCCTCTCTCTCTCTATGGAAATGTATTTGAAGGAAGGAGTGATTGAGATGCAAGGGCAACTTGGATTTCTAAATTAATATTGAAGAAAATTGGAGTTAAAAGTCAATCATAATAATTTTCAAAAGTTTTTAATTTATTTAAAAAATAAATATAATATATACATAATCAGCAAT